GAACTTTTGTTATTGACCAAATACTTATTTTCCACCATTATTTGCAAAAAAAATTCTTTAAAAGTCAGACAAAATGATTTTCTCAAAAAAAAATTTCACATTTTGTCTCTCATAGTTGAGGTCTACCTATGTTGTCAATTACAGGCCTCTCTCATCTTTTTAAGTGGGAGAACTTGCACAATTGGTGACTGACTAAATACTTATTTTCCCCACTGTATTCATGTAACAGAATGCAATGTGTTAAAATCAAAGATGTACATTCCAGTTTCCTAAAATGCACAATGGGTGTACCACAAGTATCGGTGCTTGGACCCCTGCTTTTTAGTCTTTACATCAATGACCTTCCAAAGTTTTGTCATGATGTAGAAGTCCAGTTATATGTGGACAACACTGTTTTGTACACGCATGCAAAAACGGCTCAACTTGCGGCTGCGAAATTAACCAAAGCTCTGGAGGGAGTGGTTGACTGGTTAAATCAATCCTGTCTGACTTTAAATGTAAATAAAACAAAAAAGTATGTTTTTCTCTAAGACTAAATTGGACACCTCAAATTTAAACATTTGCATTAAGGGTAGACAAATTGATACTGTGACTGAGTTTAAGTATCTTGTAGGTTGTTGTTTTTTATTTTTTATTTTTTTGGATTCTAACCTCAGCTACAAGAAACATATTTAAAAAATGACAAACTGTTAGATATAACTTGGTCAATTTTAGACATGTTAGATCTTGTTTGTCATTGGAAGCGGCCAAGATATTCATGCACGCACTCAGTTTTTCACAAATCTCATATTGTATTTCATGTTGGGGACAAGCCAATATGTCAGTAATAAAACCTGTAGAGTCTTTTTACAAACAGGCCCTCAAAATATTGGACAACAAGCCCTCAAGACACCATTATTGTCAGATTGTGCAGAAATATAACTTGCTTTCCTTTGAGAATTTCATAGTTTTTTCAAATATGGAAACAGTATATAAAATATTAAATGGTTTAGCGCCAATCTGTTTGCAAAAATTTGTTTATTATCGTTCAGCTGTTTCTTTGCGCTTAACCAGAACATCCAGGCAGAACTGTGAAGTTCCTGCTCGGCGCTCAGCATTTGGTCAAGCAGCTTTTTTGTTTAAAGCCATCGCTCAGTGAAATGCTGCTCCTGATCATGTAAAAAATGTAGTTCTTTTATTAGTTTTAAAAATAATCTTAAAAAGTATCTTAAATCTACTCAGTGTTGAAATCACTGAATCGCACTGGGTAATCAATTTTAGAGTTTGCATTTGGTTTAGGGGAGTTGCAGAGTTTTTGTTGAATGTTTAGTGATATAACATTTTAATTGCGTTTGGAGAGTGGGGTGGGGTGTTTATGTATTTTTATTGTTGGTTGAAAATGTTTTGTATTGTTTTCATTTTTCTGTTATTTTCTTTTCTTTTTTTTTTTGTTGTTTTTAATTCTGCTTCTGATTGTGTGGGGTGGAGGTGGGCATGATTTTATGTTTGGAGAG